CACTGAAGTATTATCAGCCCGACCTTTTATGGTCAGACTAACGTCCCAACGGTACCAAAGCTGGCTCAGATCAGCGTATGCCACTTTGGCTTTTGATACCCAGTTAGAAATGTCACCACCCACGCCTCCACCAGGACTCACAACTACTCAGATACTTTTCGACTACTTCCAATGGCTCACCACCGACGGTGAGCGCAGGTACAGGCTCCTGCCAATCTTGCAAAAGTACTTTGCACTTCAATGGTGCAAAGCACATAACATATCCACAGACACTATCTGTAACTATCTGTCCTTAAGATCAAATGAGTCGACCACACAGGTCACAGCTTTTCGATGGAACTACAAGAAATCTTTTCTAAAAATCATCAATGAATACTGCATAGTAACTTGATTGGTAATTTGCGAAGGGCTGATTATTGTCAGTTTGTGATGAAAACTACCTAGGAATCAATCAATTTATGAAAACCCCAGAATGACTTACTCCTTTCATTATCGTACAACATGTAAGTCTCCAACTGTTAAGGTTGCTATAATTATAAACATCGTTATTGTTACTGCTATCAGACAATTAAATTTTAAATCCTTCAAGTGATATGGCTTTCAACATATATAATGGGAATTTGTTGATCGATGATGTTTTTGCTTTGAAACAATACTAACGGTAATAATAATGACGATGATGAGAACAAAGAAAACAGCTGATAAGACAGATGCTTTGGTAACTTAAGGAGTTCTAAATTGCATATATAGTAGTAGTAATTGTAGGAGTGGAGTGAAAAATAAGAAAGCGAAATGAAAATGTGAGTGACAGAGTTGTTTATTACGTCTTTTCTATCCAATGAAAATGAATCATAATCAAAAGAAGGTATTTCAATTTGAGATTTTTTGGAAAACAACTATTGCATCTAAGATTACCAGGACAACGTTCTAAACTACTTGCAGAGAGACTATTACTCCATATTTCTAACTGACATTTCTCTTGTTAGTGTCTTTCAGTGCGATAGTGAATCTCTTATCTATAAGTCAACCAATTAAAGTAACATAACGCCACTAAAATCTTTTCCTACTATAGTCAATAAATAATTCAAAGTTAGCGACATACATTTGAAAAGATATCTTTGAAAACTCAAGAAGATGTGTATTCATCTCGGTGACTCGCGGCGGAATCCAAAATGTGCGTTCCGTTCTGTTTGGGACTCGTCTACTGAATGCACTTGCACCCCCCAGTGAGTGATCTTGTCCCCAGAGAGACTCAAATCCAATAGCCATTGCTTCAAACGCCAAAGCGTTATCACTAGAGCACTGGGCAAGGCAGAGATAAAGGCTGTAAAAACGTTTTCTGTATACAAAGACTAGGGTCGGTTTGTTTAATTCCCACAGCTTCAGCTGCATGTAATATGCGAGTACGAATTCCATTAGAAAAATTTTATGGAATGAGATAGATGATTTCGAATATTTCGGTCTTATCTATCACATGACCACTATCGGCCAAATACGACAGAATTGAACTTCATACTAACTTCACTTGTCCCTCTCCTAGTTATTAATAATAATAGCCTTATTCCAAACAAGACTTGTAGTACAGTATGGAATTCTTATAATGTAACAGTTCAACAATTTCATCCCCTGTGCAATATTCTTCTGTGAAGTAATCATTACATCTGAATGTTAACAATAATATTGATGAAAGGCACAATGCGAAACAGGCACCTGGTATCGCATTAGTGTCTGGTTTAGACTGGTGAATGAAAATAATATCAAGCGTAATTTTGGTGGTGGTAGTTTATTCAGCCAGAACCGAAATCTGCAATTCGATATAGTTATCCAACGAATAGTAATGTACTGTATTTCTATACACTTATAAGCCTATCTCTCACTGGCGTATCGTTTAATCTTGTTGTTAGCTCGAAAAACAACAGCTTGGAGCTATTTCAAAAGTTTGCGAGAGTACTTCACGAGTTTAAACGGCATATTTAAAAGATTAAAATAAACTGATAGGGAAAGATTTGATGAAATATATTCGGTGAAAACTTTCGGTAGCCTAAAGTTTCAGCAGGCCGCTATGAAGACAGGTGCGCAGCACATGTTTGTTAAGGTGCTTAGTCGTAAACCCACTACAGCTTTCTGTACACTCCTCTACTGAGTGACCCATCATCTCTTTTAATCAAAAGAACATCTAAAAAATGTAACATAATTTCTTGTTCTTCTACACAAGTGAAAGTAAAGAGGGATGTACGTCACTGACTTAATAAATAATGATCTTTTCTTCCTTAAGCTATGTTATATACAGTCTGGTATATTGTATTGAGGGTTAGGAGATTTTTCACTGTAGAAAAGAACTTAAGCTATCTAACAATTAGCTACTTTGACAGCAAAAATAGAATCCCAGTGAGAATGTGATTTGAGCCCTAAATAGATCTCAGTCAACAACTCATTTTATTGATCATTCCAATTTCGCTCGACTACATCTGTCTGTAATGCAGACTATTGGTTAACTTAATAAACATTAATCCTCTTCACCTTAGTAATCACCGCCCAACTCAATACCAACAACTTCGATTGTTGTTCGGCATTATCAAGAGAAATGATTAGGCATGCGGAACACATATCCCAATCACTACAGTCGATAGAAATTTACAATTTACCGAATGGATTAAGTTTCAACTCACCAAACAAAAGCTCTACGCTGAAACTTGACATTGTTCTCACAGTGGTTTCAACACCTGCAAATCATGTCTACACAGCCCAAATAGTTAAAACTGATTTTCATATAGATAACTTTAGAACGAAAATTGTCATTTTCTGCAACTCCTAAGAAGCAATCAACACATAATCCCTTCTCAGGAACTAAATTATGAAATTGATGATTTTAATACAAACTATAGTAAGCAAATGAGCATTAAATATCATATTTCACTTAAATATTCTAAAATCATGCGAGGCAAAGAGGGTAAATGAGGTCTTCTCATGTATCATATAGGTGTAAGGACAGCGACAAGCAAACATAAACTAAACACGATTTGTTATCTGAAAATATCAGAAGAATAAAACATTAGAGTGAAAAACTGATTGATAAAATTTGCTGACCTTACAGATAATGTTCAAAAAATTACTAGTTGGGCATATTTTTAGAAAATTGTTATGATTATGGTGACAGAAATGCATATTAAAAATAAAATACTGAATAGTGCTTTAACAAACAATTGATGAATAATGAATCAGTATAAAAAAGAATATTGAAAATACATGTCATACTACTGTTTCTCGCGAACAATTTACTAATTACTGAAAGTGATGATTATATCTCAAGTTGATACCAGTCAATCAACCACTGAAAATGCTGAAAGGTTTTTCCGTTCGACTTAAAAATTCTTTAAATAGGATAAACTATTTGCAAGTGATTTAAAAACTGCACGGTCCAGGTTGATATTTCTCACAGGTGAGTAGGTTTTCAATTGACCAAATCTGGTGGTGTACCAGGATTTCCGTAGGAAGTTAACCAGCCAAGATCACAAGGTGTGACCATTGACACGAAAATGTCATGAACTATCGAAATGTGTTACTTAACAATATGGGTAGTTAGAAATCACTTATGCTGGTGTGATTTATGTGAACTGAATTTGCCTGGGTACATTGATGACGAGCTCTGCCCTATATGCGCGAAACAGCCTTCCGATGCCTAGATCAATCTAATCTGGTTAGCGAAATTGACAGATCAGCGTGAGTGGTCCCTAGCTACTCACGTTGTTGAACAGTATATTGAAAATCCCTTCATACTATAAACGTACGAACCTTTTCAAGATGATACTGAAAAACCTCAACTCGGAAACATGAGTGGCTGTACTTATTTCCTAGCTTTCCATCTAACAGGCGGTATCTGGCTGAATAACTCGTCATTCATGGCAATCAGAGGACTGACTAATCATCATCGGCTAAGTAAAACTTAACAGATACTATATTCATTTTAATTACTAGCAACGGAATCCGCATTTCGTTCTATTTGGGACTCATCAGCTGGATGTACCTAGATCCTAGTGAGTAATGTTGTTACCACCGAGATTCGAACCTATTTGAAGTACTACAATGAGGCGAAAGTAAAATGAATGTTAAAAGAAATAAAGTGGATTAAAACGGCAAATGGAAAAGTCACTTCTCGATACAAAATTCTAGTTTCTTCTAAGAGACTAAATCAATTTTCAAGACTGGTATTCATCTGAAATGTACACCCGGGAAGATTAATTAGTAAAAATCTGAACTACAATGTTACCCATCCATTACTTATCAATATGGAGAAGAAGAAACTGCTTTTGAATATGACACTCAATAGAGATGCAGTAGGCAAAAGTCTAATATGCAGACTAGTGAAGGTCATCAACAGAATATTATATGAGGGAGCTGTGTCAATTATCCACATGAATCACTCAACGGTAAGCACACATAAGAAGGATGAAGCCCCACTACTGGTTTATTTCATATACATATATCAATCAACTTGCACACGCTTTATATCTAACATCGATTACCGAACTCTGCTAGAGTGACGATGTCGGTCATTGCAGATTGATTACCTCCTCCATTTTTATGACACTTAATTGAAAGTGATTACAATTACAATCTATTAAGTTCATAGAGTGTTTAAAAAAACGTCTATTTCGCAACAATAAAGCTTTTGCAATACTGGGATCCTTTATACAAAAACAACTTTTCTATTCATCATTCTTATTCACTTCTTAGTTTTTATACTATCAAGCATTCAAACAAAACAAAATGTTCTTATTACTATTTGAACTCTTCAACTTAGATACAAAAACTTTCATTGATTTCTTTTCGGTTAAAGATTTTTCATGAAAAGAAATCCTGTAAGTTAATAATAATACATCTTCAAAAGTTGAAGATAGCCACTACACTATTTATTCAATTCACAGAATACAAACTGCCAATAGTTTTGAATAAATGAAAATAGAGTTTTCTAATAAGAAAATCATTTTTAATTACTAAATTGAAGAGATTGATATGTAAACTTACTTGAAGTAGACTAGTGAAATCAGAGCCTTTAACATCGTTCAGTTTCGCACTGATCATTAGTGACGCTGAAGCACACAGCTTTCGATTCAATTTTGTTATAAATAACTAAAAGATTTCAATATTTAAAAAAAAAAACACTATTATACAGAAAAGATTGGATTTTCTTAAACAAAGAATTATTCGTAATTTTGAGTGACTGAAAGAATGTTATAATTGTTTACACATGGTATATGATAATCGTATTTCTCGAGTGCGGTTTTACAGCTTCGTCTATCTTCAGAGAAAATCTTGCGTGTAATCAACACACTCATTACTACACGTTTCAATCTCTGTCAAAAGTGCTTTAAAAACTTACAGCATTTTCAACTAAAAAAAACAAACAACACAATCAGTTATGGGACGTTCATCAGGTTCCAGAAGCAGGGGAACAACTGCTAACTGCATCTTGGATGATATAGAGAACAAGTTTAGCAGAAGATGTCAATTTTGTATTCAGATATAGTCACAGTCATATGAGACTTAAATGTTCAAATAAGAAAGGGTAAGCCAACCCAAAACGCTTCTTGCAAGTATACGATATATTCCAAGAACTAACAATAGTAATCAGTAGATGACTGCTGCATTTTTGCAAGCACCCTGCTGAACTTTGATCATACATTATTCTGAGCATGAAAATGTCTGCGCCTTAGTGGGTGAAAGAAAATTGGCTTTAAAGACTTTATAGAAGGATGAAGATAGAGTCTGTATTAAAGTTGAGGATGAATAAACATTCATTCAGAGATAGCTTGATATTTAGATTGCTATAGAAATAACAATAAGGATTGTTAAAGACATATAACAACTAGATGCTATCGAAAACCAATGCATCTTTGCAGTTTCATGTGAGTTGATTGGTGAAAGGCAAGGGCGGCTTTAAAAAAATGTCTAATAATCTTGATAATGATGGCAAACAGTGATGAAGGGAGAAAGCGTAAGAAATGAAAAAGCTAGTGAACTCAGGTGAGGCCCAGACGTTATTCATGGTAATCAAAGAAACTAGTCCGAAAAAAGATGACGACTAAAGATTACTGCTGAGGAAGAGGGATCGCTCACAACCCAACATCTAGTCCCCAATCTGAATAGAATGCTGCGATTGGGCTTCTCACTCTAAATGAAGTTGAGAGGGTTGTTTTGAAACTGAAATAAGGAATCATAACAGGACCTGACGACTTTCCAGCACATTTCTTTGAGGACAGTTATTAGAATTTACTGGTTACATAAAGCGATGTACTAGCGAAAAGATGAGAAACAGGGATATTGTCAAAATAGTTAAAATTGTTTATCAGGATAGAGACAAATCCTCTACTGATACATACAGGACAACAATTCGACTAGTATAATTTATCATCTCCAGACTGGATTTAACACTGTTAATTGACAAATACCATCGAAATATTTAACTGGAAAGAAAGTAATGAAAATTTATATCATTCCATATTACATTTATTTGATTTAAAACAGTGATACAGCATTATTTACTTGATGACGTTTGGAGCATAATTTATTGCTCATAATCACACCGCTTTCGACATCAGATTTTTGTAGTCATGTTACCTCATACTGATTTGTTTTTATTGCTAGTAAAATCTTTCATATCTCTGGTACAGGTGTTGCGTCATTCCTACTACATGTATTCGGTGTTAATTCCATGAACAAAGATTCAGTAATTAATCTCTCTCTCCACCTTATTATACAGGACGCAAGTACAGTGGCTTTATCCCACCCACCCTATTGTGGTTGTGTGTAAATGCATGCGCTGCAACGACCGAGTGTTTTTTTCTAGATTAGTGATCTTATTAGGTCTTTCACTCGATATTTGACTAAATTCCTACGTTCCGCCGATCTCATCCAATGTCAATTAAGGTAGGCTCGATCAAATGTAGGTAAAACTCGGGAACTATTTAGGCAAGAAGAAGACGATGGTTTGTGAAACCATCACCCAAAAGGATGGAAAGCTGATCATCTCCCAGGATAGGCAGCTAGAATGTTGAGCAGAATACTTCAAAGTACAGTTCAAATGGCGCTCAGCAAAGCTTTAGCCGCTCAACGTTCAGCCTGAACCTGAATGGTAAGTAGACGTCCGTCCTTCAACTCTCCTTGAACTTACTGGATACAGTAACGCAAGTACTAGGTAGTGTGTAGGAATAAGAGGTAGTCCTGTCAGACTGGCGTACTGCACTGATAATTCCAGTCTATCAGAATGGAGTAAAATTTCGTTAGACAACCACAGGGGAATTACCTTGACTCATGCCGTGTCCAAGATACCAGACTCCACGGATACCGACGCTAACTAGAGCTTGAGAAGACCAGGCAGATCTCAGATCTGGATGAGAGTGCATCGATCACATTTTCACACTAGGACGAGTTCTGAGAGGCGTGATCAGACCCCCTGGTCGTAAGGATTCCAGGCAGTGACTGACGGTGAAGGCAGTACCGTGCACGTAAATAGAGCTAATACAGATCGTTACTCGAACTCACCCAGCCATATCGGGGTTTATGGAGAGCTGTCATGTGAATTAAAGACAACTAGTACTATCGGCCACAGACGTCTAGAGTCACCGCCCTACTTTACTTCGCCACAGACGTGATGATGGACATAACCTTAAGTAGTACTGACTTCACTGGGATTGATCTACTCCTCTATCTGGAGGTTATCTAGTTAACTTGGAGTATGGAGACGATATTGTCCAGTTAAATGAAGACGCTGACAAAATGCGAAGCCTTCTCGACACATTGAGGAGAAATCTGATTGCGTTTGACACGCGCTTCGCACCTGTCAAACGTAAGGTGATGCTCCACGACCGATCTGCAACTACTCCTAGTTTAATGATGAAGAGTGATGTGTGGAACGTGTCGACCAATTCAACTACTCAGGGAGTTGAATCAGTCTCAACAAACTGGTTGCTGACGAGATCTCAGCTCAGTTACAAATGGCCTGTTTGGCATTTGCCAACACGCGTCATCTGCAGTCCCCACAGGAGAAATTTCCAACCATCTATAGAAGGACAAATATACTGCGCTGCAGTCAGTTCTATCCTGCTGTACACCTACCTGTGAGACATGGCCGCGAAATATAGAAGACATGAAGCGGTTAGAGCGTTTTGATCACAGACATCTCCGTAACATTGCTCACTTGTTTTGGAATCACCGTGTGACCAATGTTGACATCAGGTGAAGGGTAGTAGGTAGGACAACCAAGTCGATTGATGAGGTTGTGAACCTTCATGGTTTGGACATGTACTGCAAAGGCCGAGCATCGCCTATCTCGACGTGCCATGTTGGGTGAAGCTGGATTAGGTTGAAAGAGGGTTCATGATGGCCAGACTAGGAAGTGGCACCAGTTGATGAAGTCCCTGACTGTTGGTTTGAGCAGTGTGTGGAGATGTAGACTACCTGGTTTGGGGTCAATAGTATACTAACCGATACACATTTCAAAGGATTAGAATTCGTTTCAGCAAAAAAAATTCTACCGATCTCATGCTACTTCTGATCACTGAAGTTCATATGGATTAAGGAGACAGACTATGTCCAACAATATTCCTGATCACTATTATCAAAAGAAGAGAGTAGCGTGGTTACCAGCTTCATCATAATGTTTCGTAAAACGTCATGGTATCTAGCACAATATGTACTATTCCTCCATATCTCACTGAAAAAAATTCAAACCTCACCATCCACAAACAGCTGGATTACTAGCAGTTCATGTTCTCAAACCTGACAACTTATTACACTCCTCAACTTTTACCAATAATTAAACCGTAGATTTCACGTGATTCTTTGTGCTGACCTACTTAACTACTTCATTTTATTATCATTCACATAACATTTTACTTGAACAATAATAATTTCTACTTCATACTTCCTAAGTTCCTACTACTTAACACATTTGTGGACTTCCCTAACTACTGCTAAATTGAAACACGACTTTGCAACTCATGGGAAACTCTTGCTGATATCAAATAACTAGATGTTATAGTGTGAAATAAGATTGACGAAATCTTCATAAGAAGTCATATCTCCCTAAAGCCTACCTCAACCAATTGTTTTGTTCCCAAGTTTCGGGAGAAACCATGTGAACCAACGTGCATATATCAGATTGCTTAGAGAAACAAAATTCAATAGAATATTCAAATCTGCAAATGTCTGGAAATAGTTAAGGCCATCATAAATATATATAAACTACCGTATTTCGCACATGTTTTAGACATTGCAATATACCTTCTGTTGTCTTACCACTTTTCCATTTATCAGTTAGTCACTAAAAGAATTCCACAAGTGACAACAGAGGTTATAATCAAGTGGAGATTGGGGTCCTGAACGCCATAAAGTTGCTGAAATCCGAAAAGCACCAGGGCCATCTGGAATTCCGCCAGAAGCACTGAAAACCGACGCAAAGACAAAAGCAGACACGCTCACATCACTATTCCAGAAGGTTTGGAAGGAAGGAAGCAAAGGTACCTGCCGAGTGGAAGAATGGCAACCTTGTCAAACATCCAAAGAAGGGAGACCTAAGTGTTTGCAGTGACTTGTGCGGAATCATGCTGCTGTCCACACCACGCAAAATATTAGGCCGCATCATCCTGGAGAGACTAAAAGATGAGCTGGATTCAAACTTATGACCAAAGCAGCCTGGCTGGCTGACTTCAAGAAAAACAAATTACACGCGGATCAAATTGCAACTCTACGCTACGCATCATCGTAGAACAGGACAGAGAATGCTAGTCAACTCTCTACCTCAACTTTATCGACTTTGAAAAGGCCTTCGACAGCATCGAACCACAAGTAATTTGGCAATGGACTCAACACTACGGATTCAGTGCCATAAACCATTATCAACCTCATTCTACAGCTGTATGACGACGTCATATGCCAAGTAATTCACAGTGGAAAGCTCAGTGATGCCGTTGAAATGAAGACAGAAGTATCATCTCCGATGATCTTCCAGATTGTGGTCGACTGGACTGGACTAGATCTTGCAACAGACAACTGTGAGGAGTGAGAAAAGGGGCACACGCTGGCTGGACCGATGAAAAGATCCTAGAAGATTCGGATTTCGACGATGATGATGATTTACGTCTAACGTCAAACAAACATGAAGATCTACAGGCGAAAACTAACAAGTTGACAGAAGAAGCGAGGCGGTGAAGTAAGAGAGGACGTAGATAAGACAAAGGCGATGAAGATACCCAACCAACAACATCAACAACAAGCACTAATCACCATCAACGATAGAAACCTAAAGGAAGAAGTCTTTTTCACCTATCTACCTACCTACCTACCTAGACAGTATCGTTTCAACTACAGGCGGCGGCACAAATGAGGATGTCAAAGGCAGGATAAGTAAGATAGCAAGACCGGCATTCTTTCATCAATCTTAAATCAGTGTGGAGATCTACTGCATTTATCATAAAGCATGAACAATATCCGAATTTTAAACACCAACGTCAGTCAAATCAGTGCTTCTAAATATGGTTCAGAAACTTGGCACGTCACGAAAAGCATTTCCAATAAACTACAGACTTATATCACATCCACAGCTGCCGCATACGCGCACTCGATACTGACAATGAAGATCACATGGTCAGAATAATAAGAATAAGCAACAAGTAACTCTGGCTGGCAACGAACCAACCAAGAAGCTATCACCCAACAAATATGCAGAAGGAAGTGGAGATGGATTGAGGATATACTGAGAAGGCTGATTAGGGAATCACGCGCCAGGCCAAGCCATTGAGTAGAATCTAAAGGGGAAACGACGAGTTGGGTGTTCGAGGTGAGGGTGACATGGGGGAGATTGTGTGAGGAATAAATGAAAGCTTGTGGGAAGTAGTGGCGCCAGGTCCAAAAGACTGCAGAGAACAAAGTGCAATGGAGCGGTGCTACTGAAGCCCTATGTTCTACTAGGAACTCAACGGATAAATAATGTGTTGTTAACAGCTGCATAAAACTCAATGTATGAAAAAAGTATTACCTTTAGGATCAACTTTTCAAAGAGTACATGGGCATGTGCACAAACCCACAGGTCCAAAGACAACTGCAAAACACGAAAATTAAAAAAGGTAAAACTTGATACGAACTTTCCAAACTAAATTAGGAAAATAATTTATACTACTAACTAAGAACATAAATAGTACATAGAACGAAAACGTCAAAGTTAAAAAGTATGGGAGGTAACTATGGTTAGTTGTTACTACACATACAGCCTGATACAATGATTAGAGGATTTGAATCATGATTTCTGACATATATAATCACCAAAATAATCCCAGTGAAAATTCAGATTTACGGGTGCAACTAAAGCGTTTTGTTGAGACTGTGGCTCACTGATAAAGGCAACCAATCCATGAAGGGTGGGCTTCACAATCCAATTACACCAACTTCACCCAACAACTGACCAACGGAACCATAAATTATCATAAAAAAGTAAAGACCAAGACGTTTCTTAGGACAATTTGCATGGATATCTCGGGGAATCAAATAATGAAACAGGACATACTTTTTACATAAGATATTTAAGGGCTAGGAGATTGAACCAAGTATCTCAATGGGAACTATACTTGATGATAAAACCATTTCCTCATAAGCCAATCAAATCATCGTATCCTTGAACAAAGTAGAGATTAAGCAGTAGAACTGATGTTAACGAAAAGAAGACACCTTCAATAACCAACTAGCCAGGTGTACAAATGCTAAACTTAGATATGTTACGGACATCTGTGGCATAAAATACAATTTCCTACACAGTTTAAAAAATAATCCAGGCATTTCCAGTCACTACTTAGTTTGACATTTTAGCCAAGATCCCCGTCTTGGAGTTGTTCAACTCCTTGACAAATAAACTAGATTACCTCACGCAAGTTGTCACGGTACAGACCGATCTCAGCTTGTTAATCACCCTTTAGACATTAGCGTCTATGCGGTAGCTTAGACTGGAACCAAGAAAATGATGTGTGCTTTTAACTACGAAGTTTTTATTTCACGATGCAGTAAACTAGTAAAATACGATAAACCAAACAGCGAATCTAGCAGAAAAGGGCTCTTTGTCTAAAAAATCGAATTACAATGCTAGTACAGCGAACGGTTTGAAACAGAGATGGAGTACTAAAGAATGTAGCAGAAATTTCTGTAGTGAAGCGGTAACAATAATGAACCTGTTACCGACATAAGTCATGAAACGGAAGAAATGGGTCCAACTTGGCATACTTCATAACAGCAAATCACAGTAACATTTAAAAACAGAGAAAGCAAATAGATGAAAACAATAATATCTGCAGCTGTAAAATTGTAGGTAAAGAGGGAAAAAGAAGTATCATAAAATGATTAGAATGAAGTATAGGTCAAAAACAACGAGGACTTCAATAGTAGATATGGCATTATTGCGTAGCGGTCTAAGTTGCTACTTCTCATATCAATACATCAAGCGAGAATGCATTAATCTAAACGAGGCTAGAGATAAGGAAGCAGGTAGTCAAAAGTGAGAAGACGGTAATGGAAACATAGGAAGGAAGAACGAAACAAAACTGAGATTCAGTGGGTAGATTAAGATAAGGAGAATGTCTGGATACATCTACGCCACTAAGACTGGTTCTGAGCCGTACCATCTACAGTCAATAGCCACAGGTTTCTTTTGTCATGCGAACTCCAACCTAAAAGTCTACACATCCCTACTTGGCCCAGTTCAACAGTCAAACACTTTGTGGATAGATGCCATGTTCTACTCTTGTCACCTCCAACATTTTCCAAACTGAGCCCACTTGCGCTAATAACGTATGGAGGATCTATTAGCGATCAGGGCTGAGTCACACAAATCCCACAAATCCTCACTCAATGAAAGTTCACAACCCTACCGACTGAAGAGCCACTTTTGCCCACAACTCTATGCGTGACTTCAACACAGGATGTAGCGTTAGGCAGACAGACAGAATATAAGCAGAATCTCGCACAAAAGTGCATCAACTCAAGTTGCTACTCCTCATAGAAGCATGCAACGAAAATGTGGATAGAAAGAGTGATATTAAAAAAGACAAAGTAGTGTAAGAGACTAAACAATTTGAAGATGAAGGTTAGTGAGAATATTCAAACTTAGGAAGATATCAACGAGTGAATACATCTACGTCATTGTGATTGATTTCCAGGCATTTCACAAAGAGTCCCTAACCACCGATTTCTTTCGTCTCGGGGACCCCAAACCAGGTAGTCTACATCTCCACACACTGCTCAAACCAACAGTCAGGGACTTCATCAACTGGTGCCACTTCCTAGTCTGGCCATCATGAACCCTCTTTCAACCTAATCCAGCTTCACCCAACATGGCACGTCGAGATAGGCGATGCTCGGCCTTTGCAGTACATGTCCAAACCATGAAGGTTCACAACCTCATCAATCGACTTGGTTGTCCTACCTACTACCCTTCACCTGATGTCAACATTGGTCACACGGTGATTCCAAAACAAGTGAGCAATGTTACGGAGATGTCTGTGATCAAAACGCTCTAACCGCTTCATGTCTTCTATATTTCGCGGCCATGTCTCACAGGTAGGTGTACAGCAGGATAGAACTGACTGCAGCGCAGTATATTTGTCCTTCTATAGATGGTTGGAAATTTCTCCTGTGGGGACTGCAGATGACGCGTGTTGGCAAATGCCAAACAGGCCATTTGTAACTGAGCTGAGATCTCGTCAGCAACCAGTTTGTTGAGACTGATTCAACTCCCTGAGTAGTTGAATTGGTCGACACGTTCCACCACATCACTCTTCATCATTAAACTAGGAGTAGTTGCAGATCGGTCGTGGAGCATCACCTTACGTTTGACAGGTGCGAAGCGCGTGTCAAACGCAATCAGATTTCTCCTCAATGTGTCGAGAAGGCTTCGCATTTTGTCAGCGTCTTCATTTAACTGGACAATATCGTCTCCATACTCCAAGTTAACTAGATAACCTCCAGATAGAGGAGTAGATCAATCCCAGTGAAGTCAGACGTGCCTAAGGTTATCTTCGTTAGGATAGCGTATGCTACGATGGCAACAGTGGCCAAACACTTGAAGCCTGTTTTTGCACCCCAACTTTGGTGGTCATGTTTCATAGTAAAACAGTAGAAGAGATTTAACTGCAGTGCAGCGCACTCAGCTCCTAACGGGCAATCGCTTATCACGGTGGCCCCAAAAATGGCATAAGTTGGCGAAAGCTAAGCGAGTTTTTGATATCCGTGCAGAGATATCTTTCGTCACTGACCCATTAGGGCTAATCCAACTTTCCAGGCAAGTGAAATCGTCAACGCGCACAACTATTCCACACTACTATGAGACAAGGCACTAGTAAAAACCAGTGATAGAACAACAATTTGCAACAAACTGTTACATAAGGAGTCCACTAGACTGCAATCTGTTAGCGTCTTCATCTAACAAGACTAGGAAATCTTCATACACTAGGTCTCTTAAGGAGTCTCTTGTGACAGAATGATATCTCCATAAGTACTTTATGATAAAGCTGAATGAGAATGGAGCAAGTGCATATCAAACAACTAACTTGATAACTCACCATAGGCTCTGATACGACCACCAATTTTCAAATGCAGAGCCTTCAACAGGGTGGTGTACTTACTTGACACCTCTTCCGGCCAGAGGCACTTCCATAAGACCTTTCCATCGATGGAGTCAAATATCGCTTTTACGTAAAGGAATATAGATAATGTCGGGTACAGGTAAGTGTGTACGGTGGAGAGTAAACATCTGGTCGACCCACTCACCAGCTTTCATTCCTTATTGCAGTGGGATTGAGAAAGGGTAGATTATCAAACATGAATAGAGTAAAATGGGATTGTTAAAAGTCGCTGAATTTTACTAATCTACAATTGCATGTTGTTAACTCCACCTACCATTGCTTCTAGACTTCACGGTATATGATCCATTTTGTAATCATGAGGCTGCTATGCTAAAAACTATTGGCGTTAACGTCATCGCCCCCAACCTAAGAACCCAAACAGTAGAAACCAGTATCATAGCCTAACATGGATAACAGATGAGAAGAAAATATATAAACCAACAAAAAAAAGTGGATTAAACCATAATTAACCAAAACAGGAAATAACAAAACTAACCTTTTGTACAATCTGCACTAATACTAATTTTATACTGCGCAATTTGGTAAGTGTAATCTGTATCAGTGGAAATCTTTCATGGAATTCCCGATTAACTTCACGTTTACGTTCATTTGGACGAACATATCCCAAAATACTAGTCTATGTATCATAATGAACAAAAGTAGAAACATAAATATAGTATTGCATTGATATATGAGAGTAAATTAAAATAAAATTGAATATTGATAGAAATATGATATCATTAATATCAGAAGTGTTGTTCATTGGAGAAGTTAACTTTTATATCTTACAATTAACTAATTACCAAGTAGTGTAATTACTTTTAAATAGTGTGTGTTGTAATGACACAATCTCTGAACATCTTTGACTGATATTACTATTCCACATCTAATGACATTAGAAATGGATGAAGCAGTGTAATCTTGACTAATTCGAACAAAAAATTTAGTCATAAATATTATAAATAAACAACAGATATGCAAAATATGAATCTTCATTTGACCTTGTAAATAAATACACATTGTCAGGAATCCAACATAAGTATAAAGACAATATCAAACAAAATTGACAGATTTGAAGTGAATAAAAAAACAAATGTAACATTCTAAAGAAAATAACTCAACAGTCATGTTTTTAAACAATAAGTATCAATCTTCAATATGTATTTTTTTTTAAAAAAAAAATATTTTCAGTGGAGTTTATTCTGTACATTGGTTTTCTACATAAGGAATATAAGTGGTCAAGTAATAAAAATATGACAACACATCGATCACATGCATTCGCATGGAACAAGTTATCATGCTGGAGATTAGCTGCACAAATCTAAATAGCTGAAGAGATGCTTTAAAATCTGTGATCCCAAAAACTCGGAACCAATTACTTGAACTAATTAGACACAGCTCTACAAAACAACTTTTACACTGATATCAAAAAAACACTTTTTTTTTAATAGTTATAATTTGTTATATTAACCGATCAGAAGAAGTTATACAGATATAGCAATTATACTACTGAATTGCTGAAAACATCGACTATCGGTATATTGATCGCTGATCTAACCCACTTCTCATCTTGTGATACAATATCATTAATAAATACCACTTAAGAAAAATACGGAATTCAATAAGGTGTTTGCAAGATTCATAATCTTAACTGACAGTGATACCACTATTTGAAATCGAAATATGCTGACTCTACTATTTTGAAATAAAACTATGAACTAGTCTTCATATTTGGTAGCAACTAAGACTTATAACTCACAATCATGAAGAAAGGACAAAACTTGTAGTTATAATTTTATATCAACACCGAGTTCAAAACCCAGAGAAACGTATTATCTAAACAGCTCACTGAATTCAGGCAATTACATCAGAAATAAACAGACATATGTACTTAAAGTAATTAGTATAAGGTTGATCGGCATATTATGAATAAGCACAAATAGTAAGAAATCGAATAAACCATTCAGTTATTATCTCATGGTTCTATATATCTAGTTGAAAGTGAGTTGAACTTATGAACATGACACATTAATCCATGAATATGTTAAGTGTTTATCTGAGTGATCACTCCATCTTTTATAATATTTAAACAATGTTTTCTAGTAATGATGGATAGTGGCTAGCAGTGGAATCCAGGATGCCCATTTCGTCCGAATATAACCAAATATACTGAAACTATATCCACTGCACAAAAGTCGCTATCGTGACTCGGTGGTCCAGTGGATAATCCTCTGGCGTTTAAAGCGATCGGTCCCGCGTTCGAATCCCGGTAGGAACAACACTCACTGGAAGGGAGGTACATCCAGCTAAAGAGTCCGAAACAGGACGAAATGTACATCCTGGATTCCACTGCTACCCACTATCTATCATTGTCATAATTAAAACACAGGTAATATCGAGGCATCCGCACAGGAGTCCATATGCCAACAGAGACTGATTAATTCGATCCAATCAACGACGGTTTAATACAAGCAATTATACTATGTTTAATGTATAACACCCTTTATGGACAGATAGATGAAAAACATTTATTTTCAAAAATAAAGTTATCAAATAGGAAGCTTAATACAAGTGATAAAATGATGGGTGGATGGATTAGAGTAGAATGTCATAACCCTATTTAGCAAAAAATGTCCACCGAAAATAATCCCAGATGAGTAGTACCAATGATGTTTATTTCTTACAATACATATAGGTTACTTGTATCTGTGGTGTTTGCATCAGTGTTTTGTTAGGCATATCTAACCATCACCTATCTCAACGTGCAAAATTAGCTTGACAAGTAAGATGAAAGAAATTTAATTGGTGAAATACAAACATTCTACAAATACATGAAGACATTAGCCCTCGATCACAGATGCATGAGGAGCTATACATTTCCTAGTTAAAGTCTTGAAGGAGGAGGGGGACAAAATAAGTTGAGTACTTAACAAACTGTGCATATACTTAAAAGGAATATTTATTTTGTACTGCCATGGTCTACATATTACTACTGCACTGCAATTCCATGAGTGGTCGTCATGGTTTTAAAATGATTTTTTCCACTCAATATCCGATGAAGTGTTTTTATCTTCTAGAACCATACCATACTCGTAGCTCAGAGGTTGAGGTAATCGACTTTAAAACACTGAGTCACATTAGAACAGCCCTTTATTTGTCTTGGAATATATCGACAGATAATCCCTTTGATTCTTCTTACACTTAGTTTGCGACTAGTCGCACGCATCTACAAGTAGTTGATAAGTTGTATTGTCACCTACTTCGCATCAGATGAAACAGTAATTTTCATACAATCTTTAATGACCACTGCCTTACACTGCACGCACAGTAGGATTCATTCCCTCGGATTCTATAAATATTTTCGGTGGTAGAGAATATTTGTAGCTCAGGAAGATGATTATGATTGCATTATGTTCTCTGAGCTAGAAGGTTTAATCGTGAAGTTTTCATTGTCATTCTAGACAACATCAGCACAAACTTCAGAAGCTCACAGAACACAACATTATTAAATAAGCATTTTCAAAGCAAAATAATTAACACGTTATTATCCATAATAGTAATGGTCAAAAGAGTAAAATTAGCCCTGACAACCACGCTTCAGCGTATGCTACACACTGCATAAGATAGTATAGTACGGAGTTTTCACCAATCAAATTATCAAAGAAACACTTCAGTTTCCAGTTATTTCACTCTCAATGATATCACAATCCCACTTCATTATAATTAGTAACAAAAATAAAGCCGAAGAATTTTTACACAGTTTACGAAACATTACTACTTTGTGAACTGCAAAAAAGAAAAAGGCCAGGGATGAAAGTTGTTTAGGAGATATGAAATTTTTGGAAGCGTGATTCAGTATATACAATGAAATAAGCGTGAACTGAAATCAAAGAAGCAAGAAGATGTGAGAGTGGGAAACAGGTTATTGGTGAAACAATAAAATCTTTTAAAAAGTCATTATCTGATCAGAAAATTCGCCAATAAGGAAATTTTTCAAAGTATAAACAAAGCAAGTTGGATGAATAAAAAGTGAATAGAAAAGTAGTTTTGCGATATACTAGTTCAATTTCCATTTCTGTACTGCTGAAGCGTTCGGAATATTTAGCTTAACTTTTTTTAAGGCTGAAATTCCTTACACAGTTCAGATAAAAAGCTGGAAACCTCATTGCTATATATATACTGCGTTTTAGACCATCATGTCTTCATCTGTATCATTTTTTATTTTCCCTTACAGCAAACCAAAGTTGTCTGAGTCAGAAGTCAAGTTGACCATTATTTCCGTGTTATAATCCAGATTGAACATTAATGTACTGGATGAAAAAGAGACAACGGTCGAGTTCAGTGACAGATTGGATCCCGGATATGGACTGCTAGCTTATCCAAAACTAAAAAGAAATAGTTATTTGGTACCCTAAGGTTAATAGCTTTTCTCTAGCCATCATCATTTAGTGACGATAAGTGTCCCTAGACTGATCAACTCACAAATGGCCTCTACAATAAATAATTTATATTCATTCACAAACGAAAATCTGAATAACTAACTAGATAGTTTGGAAGCTTCAGTACACGCTTTCCGGTAGCAACTAAAAGTTCTGGATCATCCAGAAGAAATGGATTGTAACTTATCAATGGATCCGGATAACTTAACGTTGTAGATGGCCATAGAGATACGATATTTACAAGAGAATTACGACTTGTACTGCTTGAACTAGTATTACGTTGTCTGCTGAATGACTTGGTAGGACGATGCCAACATGCAGTATTAGAAGAGACAGTTGAAGGATTGTTTGAGTGACCACGTCTAGTTACAGCACCTGTAAAAGCAACAACAAAAAGTATTGAAAAGCAAATAATTTTATTCTATAAACTTTAATTTCTTAAAAAATTCAGCAACTATGAGGATGGGATTGCTATCTACATTATTACTCAGCGTCAATACAACGCAAAAAAGCTTACACCAAGACCCTACTTCTACAAATATAGTAGTGATATGAATATCTAGTTCAAAGATCAGAAAGATTAGCAAATTTAACGACGTCATAGTTAGCTAAGCACATTCAAACTTCTCTCCAACTCTGCAATAATATACCTACATCAAGAACATAGACATAATAAGCCCATCACACGAGCAGTACAACTATCGTATCAAACCATAAAAGTAGGGAATGGTACTATGTAGGTTACACTCGTTCAAATGGCCGAATAATATCTTTGCATTAAATATCATAACTGTCATTGACATTGATAACGATATCTGTTGATACTCGTTAACAGTTTTATTTTCCTAGAAACACCAAATGTCTATGTGCTTCTTAGCAATAATAGAAACTCTTCTCATCACAAACTTTTCAACCATCCTCTGCTTAACCCATGTATTCTTCAATCTTAAATACATTGTTAACGGACTAATCCTGAGAAATAGCCTTTGATATTGTTCGAAAGAAACACAAAAAAATGCATACAGGAGCTAAAAATATCCATTTCTTCTCATATTGGATCGATAGATGCTCATGTTTTACACCTACATTAATGTTCACTTCCTTGATAAATTCAGCAAGCACCTTTTTGGTCAACAAAACAAAAGCCTTGAATGCCAATATTTATTCTATACAAGATATTATCGTATTGATTTAGTCGGTGATATACAGTCAACATTGTAACGCTTCAAAATCTACACTGAAGTATTCAAAGTTTTACGAACTTTAAATGAGGAAGAAAACTAGGTCTAGAGTCATTGGTAAAAAATTATTGATTGCCTAGTAACCTTCACCTTTACCCTTGATCATTGCTTAGTTTGAATTTCAGAATAACCATTATTCGAAGTATAATAAAAGGTGAAGTTATGACTAATAGGTATACACTATTCCACTACATCACTATGACGTACCACTCCGTAAACACACTCAAGCAATATATTGCCTTCAAAGTATTAGGAATGTTCACTAGTTGAAAAATAGAGTTGGAATGCCTTATTAATCTTATGATTACAAACTTGTTAACCTTAGGTTTGGTGCTACACTATGATATCATCTTAGTGGAACACATTGTGGACAAAACAATGATTAAAGAAAAGTGGGGGAAAAATATACATTTTGAATGCTAATAAGCCTATGGATGAATTTGCTCACATAAGATGGAATTCATTAACATACTAAATTATGCATAGCCAATACAAAGAAAAAGTTTAAAGTTGTCTGAAGAAATGACAAAGCTGAGAAGTGAATACAAAGATTTGTAACGCAGGAATAGCGGAAAAAACACCAAATCATTATAAGCAATAAAATTCACTAGACGAAAACAAGTAAAGTGTAACCAGCCAAATAATGCAATGAAGAGTGCTAATAAAAATGAAATACAAGTTGATGATAACGCGCCTATCATTACTACTACAATGGTGGAGCTGTGGCTCATTGGTTAAGATAATTGACTTCCAACCAATGGGTCACAGATTCAAGTCCTGCTCGACCTAACGAGATTTGGGCAGTCAAGTAGTATCATTAGCCCTCACACAATACGTGTGGTTCATTGCCTACTGCCTGAATGTGCACAAGGTTGATCAGCACAACTCAAATTCACTACCACAATACTATTTAATTTAACTATATGACAATAGTGTATTACCGAAGAGATAAACCTCGATTAACAGGCATTAGAAAAAGATCATAAAGGTAATGAATTCGTTGGTATTGGAGTAATTTTTCAGAGTATGACATGTAACAGGAAAAATATAGCATGTGACTGGTGAACTAAACAACCTGGAATGAAACCACTAAGCTAGTGTAGAAAGTAAAGCTAAACCACAAAAGCCAAGTAAAAACGTAAACAAATGACTGTAAACTACTTAAGAGTGACTTCCAACCAAATATTCTTCTTCTATGGCAAAAACTTTATGTACGGTAATTTTCTGATGTATCCTTCAGAAAAACAATCTATATTCTGATATGGATAGAAGAGAAGTACAAAGTCGCGTCTACACAACTTTCAATATCTGAAAACTGTTACCTTGTAACCGCCCAATGATAACTGCCCATCCATTTTTCTCTAACAGACAGATAAATGCTATCAACATTAAATTTGATCTTTATTGAGTAGTGATCCAAGTGGTCACATCTCATATCAGTACACCAAGTAAGAACGTAACAAAATGTAAGTTTTAAGATGTGTAACATCTACTCCGTAAACCCTTAATACTGATAACTTTATCTTTATGTAACTAATCCAACACAAGCAAGAAATCCACGAACACACAACTAAATAGCACGTTTCAAATATTCAGGAAAAATTTCTTGACCGTATATGTTAATGATACATAGAGAAAAATAAAACACTTCCCAGAAAAGTTACTCATCAAACATATAACTGGAACAGTACATATGTAAATAGTTATCATATATATTTAACGTTGTAATAAACATTCTATTCCCTCACCATCCTTTCCGTTTCCAAGGCATGAGAACTGAAGGCTAGTAAAGAGATGTTCAATATCATCTGTCAGTATACGCGACATATTAGAAAGAATGTTGTCATATAGTTTGGCTAACAAGACGTGGAATCATATAATCGGGTAAACGTATCCAGGATACACCGTCTTTCTATGATAAGCATCTAATCACCTTCATAGTTAATTCTTTGGTGTAAACATCCATTATCACATCTGTGTAAGCACATAATTTATGTGTACCAAATCTCCTAAGTAAATAGGTCAAGAGTTCATATCCCGCTGGACATACTTAAGCTTAAGCAACAGAGTAGTAACATACACCTTCATACATTATTTGTAGTTCATAGCCTATATATTATATTTCTGAGTTGTAGTAGTTAATTTCTCCCTTAACAATCTAGGCAATATGGTCAATATGGTATTGCCCTAATGAAACAGAATGAAAACGGAAATAAAAAATATGCAAACCGCCCAGTATGAAATTGCAGAATAAATATAAATATGTTGATTTTGCATTGGTCAAACAATGTCACTGGTCAATCTCCTTAACCTAAGTCTTCATTTTTTTTCTAAACTACCGTAGGATGGTTATTCAGGCTGAAAATATACCAAGTCAACATAAAACAAAACTTTGTTTGAAACCTTCCCAAAACTACCCCTCTTCCTTTTAAACAATAAGTGCTAGATTGTAAGCAATACGATTACAATATGGTGGAAAAAATAAAATCTTTCTATTTCAATTCACTTAAATGGAAATCTTACATATTTCTTTATGTCTAGTGCAAAGAAATCATATCAGCTTTAGCTACAAGTTAATTAGAGCATAGAGATAAGTAGGGTTACACAAAGAATAGAAACCAATGATTGTTTAATCCATCCGTAATAATTAACCCACTCACCTTCAGAAGTGTGTGTAGTAGACTCATAATTGGACTTTAAATCTGCATTAGATATAATGTGCGATAATGATTCAGAATCCATTGGATATGACGTAAGTGACGTGGACGTAGGTTGGATTGGTTTCAGACTATTTTTCAACATCGTGGAATTAGATTGAATTAAATGAGCATATGAAATGACCTAATACATAAATAAATAGAATTGAGCTATACTGCTATCTGGTACGATGAAAGTAAGCTTAAAGAAACGATGGTTAAATTTCGGTACGTATATTCAAACTTCCACCTGTATGACAGTTGAGTGTCTGCGTTTACACAATTTGTAATTTATTTTTTTTCACCTTGGGTTCCTCTAGTGGAACATAGGGCTTCAGTAGCACCGCTCCATTGCACTTTGTTCTCTGCAGTCTTTTGGACCTGGCGCCACTACTTCCCACAAGCTTTCATTTATTCCTCACACAATCTCCTCCATGTCACTTCCACCTCGAACACCCAACTCGTCGTTTCTCCTTTGGATTCCACTCAATGGCTTGGCCTGGCGCGTGATTCCCTAATCAGCCTTCTCAGTATATCCTCAATCCATCTCCACTTCCTTCTGCATATTTGTTGGGCAATAGGTTCTTGGTTTGTTGGTTCGTCGCCAGAGTGAGTTCCTTGAGTTGCAATAAAAATAACTTAAAAGATTTGGATTTCGACGATGATTTGTGTCTAATATCGCACAAACTCGAAGATCTACAGGCGAAAACTAACAAGTTGACAGAAGAGGAGAGGCAGCGAAAAGGAGACTTCAAGTGAACGTAGAGAAGACAGAGGTGATGAAGATACCCAACCAACAACAACAAGCACCAACCACCATCAACGGGAGAAACCTAAAGGAAGTAGTCTCTTTCACCTAACTGCCACCTAGGTAGCATTATTTCAACCACAGGTGGCACAGACGAGGATGTCAAAGCCAAGATCAGAAAGACAGCAAGACAGGCCTTCTTTCATCAATCTTAAATCAGTGTCGACATCTACTCCACTACACTCAGCACAAAGAACAAGATCCAGATTTTCAACACCAACATCGGTCAAGTCAGTGCTTCTAAATATGGTTCAGAAACTTGGCACGTCACGAAAAGCATTTCCAACAAACTACAGACTTATATCACATCCACAGCTGCCGCCTACGCTCACTTGATACTGACAATGAAGATCACATGGTCAGAATAATAAGAATGAGCAACAAGGAACTCACTCTGGCAACAAACCAAGAACCTATTGCCCAACAAATATGCAGAAGGAAGTGGAGATGGATTGAGGATATACTGAGAAGGCTGATTAGGAACATCACGCGCCAGGCCAAGCCATTGAGTGGAATCCAAAGGAGAAACGACGAGTTGGGTGTTCGAGGTGAGGGTGACATGGAGGAGATTGTGTGAGGAATAAATGAAAGCTTGTGGGAAGTTGTGGCTCCAGGTTCAACAGACTGCAGAGAACAGAGTGCAATGGAGCGGTGCTACTGAAGCCCTATGTTCCGCTAGGAACCCAAGGTTATAGTAATAATAATACGGTTACATCGATATTCAGAAACATTATTTAAGAATGCTATTTGACCATTGAGTCGCATATAAAATGAAAATAAAACAACATTAAAGCATCTCTAATTTGATTATCAGTTGTTTTATTCCCTGTAGATTATTTTGTTTTCCGTAATCAGAAGCAAGGTATAATTGAAACCGAGACAGCATGGAACTTCCTCCTAAGTTATCAATAAACGCCAGAATTGGAAATGTTATCAGTGGGTGATTCAACTACTAAAACAGTCATCCACTTTGAATAAAAACAGTTATTGAAAAACAACTAATAGCCAAAATCTATCAAGAACATTATGTTGTCAAGTAGCTTAGTAGTTTCACATTCCACTACAATATTTCTACATAAACAGCCGAATGGTTCTGGTAATGAAAAACATGATTGATTGACTGTCATTTACAAATGATCTATAATATGTTCTATATCAATACAGAAACTGAAGCTCCATATACAAGCACTATTCTTGAAGTTGTATCTTTACTTCCTAGCACAACACTTCAGGAGACAAAGTAACATTTCCTTATTGATAATCTAGACTTAGCGGATGATGCAAAATAGACAAATAGACAGCATAGTAATCCACTCGTGCCACACGAACGAAAAGCGTAGCTACACCTGATGAAAAAAAACTATCCTTGGTAGCTGCTATACATATCATAACTGGCGTAAAATTCTTATAGCTAACGGATTCCAGAGTTAATGAGTATACCTTCAACAAGACATTAAAATCATGCATTTGCATGAATATTTAACAACACTAACTCAACTGAAAGCAAGTTGAATAATACAAAAAATACTCAAAGTAACTTAGTCTCCTTACCTCACCATTAACAGGTCGAAAAGAACTAAGATTTGCCCCCATATGATGATTACAGTGAGCTGTAGATTCTCGGGCATGCGTAACACCAGGGAATATGAATGTCTGAGGTAAACGGACAGAATTTGACGGGGTATGAAACTGTTCAACACCTGATAAAACTTTCTGAGAATTATTAGGAAGAAACTGTCGACGTCCAACCCTAGAAATATGAGTAAAACAAACATGTAGTATACACACATGATATTTGAAGAGTAAATAAGCATCAAATTTTAGTCAAACAATGAAAAAAAAATTAAACATAAAATATTGTTAGTGCATATGATACAAAAATTACTATGAGATGAAACAAATTCGGTTTCACAGTTTTCTATACAACTGGGTATGAATAATTTGCAAGTATTAACCTCAGTCACTCACAATCTACGAAAACTAACAAGAAAAATGACAACTTAATAAAGTCGATCATTAAACAATATCATTTCATATCAAACTGTGGAGTAAAGATTATATTACACATACTCACTAAACAAGTAAATGAGTCTTAACATATGGTTCACTTAAGTGAGTGCCGAAGATTGATAAGATATTCAACTAATTGTATGTTAATATGACAATCAGATCAAAACTCTAACTAGTTTACAGAAGATAAAGAATTTTTTCTATAAAAAAGAAATATTGCTGAAGAAAAAAACCTGGTAGTGCTCTACGCAGTTAAAAGTTAGAAAGTAGAATAATGCAATGGAATTCTAACGCAACCATTGTAAGAGTATCACAGAAAAAGAAACAGAAACGTTGAAATCCACTCTATGTATTCCTGTCTTTGAAAATTTCTTCCTACCGTTTTCTATAATCGAGTATATTGCATCAAATTTCTTATTTCTATATTCTTTTAATCGTTTAATTATGTCAACCAATCGTATTGTATATTCTCGCATGTTTTTAAAATCATTACAACCTATCGCTTCGCAAGTTGATAGGAAATTTAAGAAGAAGCACCACGGTGGATGGCAACGAGCTCTGAAGCGTATGACCATAGATCAAATGACTATTCCGGAAATACTTAGCACAAACTGCAGGTCGTTGCCGAATAAAGTTGATTACCTTCAGTCACTCTTGTCCACAAATGTTTATCGAAACACGGGTGTAATAATGCTGCAGGAAACATGGCTTCATAATCTGTGTGATGATGACTTAGTCTGCTTAGATGGTTTCAAATTATTTCGACAAGATCGAAGCTTTTCGAAGAAGAAATGTGGTGGTTGTGTAGCAACATTTATTAGTACTAACTGGTCGTCCTCCAACTATGTATGCTTCTGCTTCTCTAACGAAAAAATTGAGTGCATTACCATCAAATGTCGTCCCAAACATTTGAGCAAATACAAATACATATATATCACAAACATGTATGTCACACCTGACTGCAGTTTCTCAGATTTGTCAACTTTTGCTGATAAATTCACTGAATTTGCTGCTCCGGTTCTGGGAAACTCCTTGTCTATTGTCTGTGGTGATTTTAACTCATGTGACTACAGTTTTCTATTATCATTGGGTCATAAAAATATGGTTAACTTTTCCACTCGTCTTGACAACACCTTAGACTTTGCATTTACAAATGAACCTGGCATATATGAAGCCCGTAAACGGGCTCCACTGCTAAATTCCGACCACTGTATCGTTCGTGTTTTGCCTAAAGTGTACGGAAAATTATACAAGAAAGCTTTTGCATACCTTTCAAGGAAAGTTCAATACAGATGCTATTCACAAGAAAATATATTACGTTTGAGAAGCATGCTTATAGAAACGGACTGGGATATATTTGCTGATGAAGTTTTAGACAACACTATTACCAATATCACAAGCTATCTCAGATTCTGTCTCGATATCTGCTGCCCTACTGAAACAATTTACATGAGATTTGACAGACTTTCCTCTCCTCATCTCAAGAGGCTTCGGAGAGAAAAGGAAAGGTTGTATAAGGCGAGAGATCACCCTGGCGTTAAAAGGCTTAACTGCCTAATTAAGTCTGAAATACAACGTCTGAATACTATATACAACAGAAGTTCTTATCGTGTAAGAACTCTTCCAATATATGGAAATTATTTAAAGAGCTTACTGGTAAAAAACAGATGACAACACAAACTCGTTCGGATGTCTGCGCGTTAAACAAGTCATTTATACGTCGGCAAGCTAATTTCACCCTTCCTAATGTGCAAAATCAAGTGGATAGCTGCTTTCCAGGTTTCAATACAAATGATGTATTTAAATGTCTAAAGTCTTTGAATCCCTCCCAAAGCTTAGGTCCTGATGGTGTTTCTAGTATCATATTTAGAAAATGTGCAGATATTTTGTGTCATCCACTTACAGATATCTTCAATGTATCGTTCTCTAAAAACATAATACCCACTGCTTGGAAGCAGATAAAAATTGTACCTGTGCCTAAGCCATCTTCTGGATCAGATGTTACTTTTCGACCCATCGCTATAACTTCCCCTTTTCTGAAGACAATGGAGAAATTACTTCTGCTTGTGATTGAGCCTTCATTGATGGCCTTCAGAGATCCAAAACAGTTTGCTTACAAACACCGGAGGAGTACTTTAGATGCAGCTACTGTCTTGCATCATAATATTGTTTCTAGTCTCGACAAAGGTGTTAAGTATGTCCGTTGTGCCTTTTTGGATTACTCATCA